TTTACCAGAAGTCATTCATTTCAACAGGGTTTGCTATTAACTCTGGTTTCACATTTTCATGCTAACTCAAGGAATGTATTCCCCACTGATATGGGAATCATGATATATACACTTATACAGGATGTTACAAATGAGTTAAATTCCAAGCACCAAAAATCATGAATGTTAATTGTTTCTTTAAGTTCCTGATTCTACCTGAACAATAAAAGCAGCTGAGAAAAAAAACCCCCTACTAACCAAAATGTTTGTGTGAACCAAACACTGGTGTTCTTCTAATGTGCCAGTACCAGATATCAGAGTGTACTGTGTAACCTGTCTCTAAATCCTATGATCTGCCAAAATTTGTAGGATTGCAATATTGGATTACTTCAGCAACCATGATGGAAGCTACTTTTCCAGAAGCACTGAAGGAATTAGGCAGCTCTCTCCTGTGCAGTGCTGGGTTATTACACTGCTAGGGAAATAAATGTGAACTGCACATGTTATTTGGCAGGGAAAGCAGCATGCATTACTTAGGTGCATATAAAAATAATAGCATTCATTTTCTTTCTCAAACAACTTGAGCTCTGCTGTCATATCAAGTCTGCTGCTGAATAGTACTATGAACAAAAATCATGTTATGTAATAATGTGGTGGTGATGCTGGTAGTGGTGGAAGAAGAAAAGCTTTTGTGAAAAGCATGATTTTCCTTATCGCAGTAAAATGTGAATGCTGCCCCAAGGACAATCTTGGGAAAGAAATAAACAACATAAACCAAGAAATGCAATTATGTATACCTTGCATGCTATCTTCCTGAATTAACTGAAGCTCTAAATGTATTGGGGAACTGCATTATTGAATCCTTAGACCACACAAAAGCAGTACATCGCTTAACCATGACAGTAGACTCAAGTTTGAAGACAAATATTTAATTGTTGCTTAAAGCAGTATGACACAAATGTCACTTATTTTTTCATCAGGTGTAACAAAGTAGAATGCATTAAATGATAATAGACAGTTGTTTAAATAGATTTCTAATTCTAGCCTTGCAGAATTTTCCTGTCAACTCCTTTTACTGGTGTGCATGTAATACTTCATGCCACTTCCAGCTGCCTGATGTGGTTCAATCTTCCCCATGAAAAGTGTCAGCAGTTCTAATATGGTCTTCCCTTGTGGTATAATAAAGCTAGTCTCCCCACCTCCTTTCCCCCCAGGATATATGGCAAAGGAATGTGCTTATTTTGGTGGCACAATGATGGGGTGGAGGGAAGTACAGAACAACAATGTTTGAACTGCATTATGTGGTCAGTGTAGAGTACACTTATATAATGTAGTTTGAATTGCATTGAATGACATTCTTTGGTAGTTTAGATTAAGCCTTAGATAACTCAGGCTGTATCTAAACTGCCATATCATGCAGTTTCAGGATGCAGTTTAACTTTATTGAACTGTATTATATGGTAGTTTAGACTCATATAATCCAGTTCAATGCAGTTAAATTGCATTCTGAAACTGCATTGCTTGGCAGTGCAGATCTAGCCCCATTTACCCGGGTCCTTCCAGACACATCAAAATCCCAAGAGGAATCAGGATTTAAATCCTGATTCCTCTTAGGACTTTGTCTCCACTCCAACTCCCAAACCTGGGCTTTCCCTCGGGCAAGGTGGGGTGGGTGCTAGATGCCATCCTAGGACAACCAAAGGTTGACCTGGGAGGGCATACAGCCCCCCTCCAGACCCCCATTCCCTCCCCCAAAACTTACCTGAGGGATCTGCAGGCAGTGCAGATCCCTAATGGAGAGCACTGGAGCAATGGGGGGAGAGGATTTTCAGAAGCAGTCCCAGGAGTCAGTCACTACAGGACCCTCACCTGTAAATATACAGACCTTAGTTTAAGATCTACATCTTTACGGATGTTTTTAAAACCCAAATTAAGCCACGTAAAACTGGGATACCTCTTTTGGGTTTATTTAGTGGGCAAAACTTTAAAAATTCCCTAAAATCAGTGGATGTGTGAATCTTTCTGAAACGTGGGGGAAAGGATGCCCTGGCTATGTTGTGTCATTGTAGAGAAAGTTGAGGGATAGCACCTGTATTTTTTTAATTATTGTTCACAAAAACTACAAAAATATCCTAAAAATCAGTGGATGAGCAAAGCATTCTGAAACTTGGGAGGCTTTGAGTGGTAAATGTGTCCTGCAGGTATCATGAATTTCATCCTGATAGCTCTAAAACTGAGGGAGGGAAAAGCCCCATTAGTGTCCCAGTTTACTTTGGATTAATCTGGGTTTACCTGAGACACCATTTGGATGCCTCAGGTAAACCCATTACCTATCACTGGTTTTGGGCCTGTGCAGAAGGGCCCACAGTGGCCTCTGTAAGGGAATGAGGTGTCTGCAGGTTATGTATAGCATTTTTATGAGACTTACTGTCATTTAGAGAGCATAATAAGTAGAATGGACTTCTCACTTCAATCCAGCTATATGTCATCATTTTCTTGCATATTGTACTCAGCATCTAACACTGCGGTGTTCATTTTTCACCCATTCATTTTATAACAATGCCTTTCTTAATGAGATTCCAACTGCACCTAGAGAGGGTGAAGGTGACGGCCTTCTTGTTGGTCTTTTTCCAGGAAAGCTATCATTAATAAAGAGCAGCAGAATAAAGAACACAGATTTGTCCAGACTATTCAGTGTAATTAATTTGTGTCTAAAATGAATTTCAACATTGCCTGCTGTGCAGTGTCGTTCTTTTTATATGATAACTTCATAAACAAAATGTAAGAGTGGGAGAAAAAAGTGGGCTGTTAAAGTAATTTATATCCCTGTGGAAAATAATTACAACAAATTGTTTAGCATATACGAGTTGTTTAAATATATAATATATCTTTCTTCTGTCAGCAGTAAGGTGTCGTTTGTCTACAATGGGCCTCTTGGTCAGATTACATTTTCTTTGGCAACTGAATTATTTCAGTTAAAGTATGGGAATCTGTGGTCTATGTCGTCGCATGTCAGTTCAATAGACATAACTTTATGATGAACGCACATTTTGGGGTCCAAAATGCAGGAGATACAGAACACCTGTGCTTGTTTTATTTTTTTAATTAATGCTCTTACCATTATTATTCTGATCTAAATTATCTTGTAATGTTTCTGGTGGCCCTTTAACTACAGCAATCTGCATCTTTGTGAGTGTGTGCTTCTGTGTGTTTTTTGGGGTGATGTATGATCTCATCACATTTATCTTTGGAAGCATCCTACAATGCTTCCACTCCTGCTGGAGGATGGATGGGCCCACCACCCATTACATGACACAAGGAAACTTCCTGTGGAGGCCACTCCTCCAACTGGAGGGAAAGTGCCATATGACTCTTCCCTCCCAACACGGGGAGCTTCACTCCATCTGATCCCAAAAATTTGGCGGTGAAGCTGGATACTTCACCTGGCTTATATGATAAGGTAGTTAGTGGGATGCACAGTTCAATGTGCCTTGTCCCTCCTTCTTTTTCTTCAATCCTTCACATTGACCTCTTTTTCTTTTCAAAAATAAAAGGTTTGTAAAAATGGAAACTTTTCTGTCTGAACTGCTATAATTAAATATATTGGGTAGATATTATGTCCAATATACTCTGGCATAATACTTTTGAATTTCTTGGTGAACAGTCCATGTGTTTATCTTGCATTTCTCTCTATTGTTGAGTATAACCTGTAATTTTGCATAACTTGACTTTTTTTTTGAAATAGCAAATCTCTTTGGAAGTGAAACAAAAGGTATACTGCCTGTTGAATATCATCAATGTGGTTTAGATTTTTAAAAAAGAAAAACAAGGCAGAGGAAAACATTAAACAATGATTATATTTGAAGGGAAGCATTCTTTGCATTAGAATATTAGAATTACTTTTGTTGCCTGTCATATATAATGCACTTTCTTGCTTTATATTGTGTTCGCTTGGTCTGTTTTGCCTTACATAATATTAATGTGTCTCACTGTCTCCTGAAGGTAAAAAAAAAGCAGATAAGGAATCAGAATTACTGCCACAAACTGCAAACTATTCCCAGCCAGATTCTAGAACAATAAAATGTATTTTGTTTTCAGCAGCAGCAAGGTGACACACTGACTGCAGAGATGATCCCAAATATGCTTTTAGATGTCATGAATTTCTCTTTGTAGCCCATTATTTATAGTCTATCCTCAGATGCAGCAGGTGGCAAGTCATAAATAGGATTTATCACTTTGTTATACTCTGTTATCCCTTGAGTCACAGAACAGATTAAAAAACAGCAACTTACTCTAGTGAGCTTTATGGCTGAATTAGGATTTGATCATAGGTTTCTCCAGTTAAAAATGGACACCACATACATTGTATAGGTTGCATTTTTTTTATTTAATATGCTTGGCACCAGAAATGTTTTAGAGTCTCAGTTTTTAAATTTTTAAATAACTATATTTGTATATGCATTATCTATTTATTTATTTATTTATGATATTTGTATACCACCCTTCTCAACCCCAAAGGGAACTCAGGGCACTTCGCAGTGCATAATAAGTTATATTAGAGAACTTATAATAAGTTATATTAGAGATGAGATCCAAGTCTAAACATAAAAAAATGTTATTTTTATTTATTTCTTATTTGCATAGCTCCTAGATGATGCATTTAACAACACATATCTGGCTATAAGAAGGTATAGCCAGTTTTCACTGGCTGTACAGTTTTGGGTGACTGTGGGCATAGCCCAAGGAAATAATATATCCTCTCTCTCTGCAATGAGCAAAAAAGAGCACTCATGGCTAAAAACTGAACTTTTGGTTGCATGCAACCCATTGTGTTATGTGAAAATTACTTTCATGTGGTTCTTATAATATCTGAATCAGTGGCAATTTGATATAAATTGAACTTAAATCTATGTATGTTTATGACCATAGAACAAAGAATTAAAGAAAAGTATGTTAAATGTAGTCTAGATAATTTTATTTTGAAGTGATTTATCAAATATTTGTTTGCTTTTTTACAATAGGAATGACTTGTCAAGCCCGAACATCCTACACAGAAGATGAAGTTCTCTGGGGTCATCGTTTCTTTCCTGTTATTTCCTTAGAGGAAGGATTCTTCAAAGTAGACTATTCCCAGTTCCATGCAACATTTGAAGTCCCTACAGCTCCTTACAGTGTGAAAGAACAGGAAGAAATGCTACTTATGTCCTCCCCTTTAATAGCACCAGCTGTAAGTAACAGCAAGGAGAGGAATAATTCTGTGGAGTGTCTGGATGGCCTAGATGACATTGGTACAAAGATACCCTCAAAACTGCAGAAAATGACTGGAAGAGAAGACTTTCCTAAAAAGCTGTTGAGAATGAGTTCTACTACATCCGAAAAGGCCTACAGCATGGGGGACCTTCCTATGAAACTTCAGCGAATAAGTTCTGTCCCTGGTAATTCAGAAGAGAAACTTGTATCTAAAACCACAAAGATGTTATCAGATCCTATGAGCCAGTCTATGGCAGACTTGCCACCAAAACTTCAAAAGTTATCAGGAGGAGGGGGTGGTAGAATGGAAGGAAACCTCCCCCCCAAACTGAGGAAAATGAATTCAGATCGATTTACATAACATGAACAAATCTTCTGGGTACCACTTCAAGTCTGAATGCCATGCAGCCCAATTTGGGCAGGAAAACAAACACAATGAAATAGCATTTGGTGACCAATTTTGCTTAGAACTACATGCCTTCGGGGACAACACCATTCACCAACACTGAGAACTTGGTAAAAGATCGGAAATTCGGCTTAGGGCCACATGAAAGCTAAAAAGCTAATATTAATTGGCATGTAGTATCACCACAAGCATGCAATAATAGTGTGCAAATTTTGCAAATAGTTTTATGGCATGGTTCTTATTATATTTATACTGTATATTCTGAAAAAAATGTAAATGGGATATTATTCTCCTATATTTCTTAAGTATTAAACAGTATGTAAAACATAAAAGTGGGTTTCCAGCAGACAAGTTATAGATTAATTTGTAATTGGTACAATTCAGCCAAAGTTAACCATTTTGGACAGCAAAGCTTTGTCCAATATATCCTCCACATTGAAAAAGTTTTCTGCTCTCAAGTCTCCTCTCCACCTAATAACAGTTCCTTTGCAAGTGAAGAATTGTGTAGGAGGGTTGAGTGCAACTTCTAAAAATTGGATCAGCTAAGTCCTTAAGTATTTTTTGTTGCAATCAGTGGAATGTTCAAGTGTTTTACACTGGCTGAAAAATGCCCATTTTCTTGATGAAAATTAGGATGTTTTCTCCCGACAGTTATTGTGCATGTTTTCTTTGTTGAGGCTAAACATATGAAGAAATCCAAGCACCAAAACATGTAGCCTTAAACTTCTTATTTGTTTCTTTTAGCATTTCCCTGTTTCTTTTGCTTCAACAACTCTATATCTATGCTTTATATAAAAAATACTTGAATCCTGTTGGTGAGTAATTGTCTTTTACACTGCTGCTTCCACTTCCTGCAGCTGAGGTGAGAGAAAGCAGACAGTTTGACACTATTTTACCTGCTATACCTTGATGCTGTGAAATAATGTGAGTTGTAATTTTACAAGGTCTTTAGCTTTCTCTACCAAAGAGTGCTGGTGCCTCATCAAACTACAACTCCCATGTTTCCATAGCATTCAACCATGGTATTAAAGTGGTATCAAACAGCATCACTACTACAATGTAGATGTACCTTAGGTCATCATTGGGAAGGAAAAGCTGCCAATTTTGAGCATATACTTTTCCAGCAATTGGGATGAATGGGATTGTGTCCTTGGAGTCTGTGTGCTTTACACCATAGGACAGGTAATTGCTCAAGCCAGAACACCTTGTTTTCACACCACTATAAGACAGGTATCGAAGAAATAGTCTGCTCAAGGTCAGCAGTTGACTTTCCCTGACAATGCTGATAATAATGGCTTTTCATTCCTTCACTAACACTGCATATGCCATCTTTTTCCTCCTGCCACCACCTTGTTGTTACTATTGACAGACTTGATCTTTGTAGGAATGTCTAAAAGTGGGTGATAGCCTTAAAAAAAACCCCTTCCTTTTTCGAAACAAGGCATGACATTCAAAAGACATAGTTGGAAAACTTATTTCATATTTATTAAATGAATGAAGAAGAAAAAAAAATATCAGTTCATCATGCATATTGCTTTTGACATATATGCAAATGACAAACCTACTCCTTACACTAAATACATAAAAAATTGAAGATCTAGTCCTTCAGACAGTAAAGTTGAATGTTGGAAACCTCAGACAAGAATGGAACTTGGAATGAATTAATTAAGGTATTAATTTACAAAATTGTTCTAGTGTTTTCTAGATCCCCAATTGACAATGAAGTCATAAATGTACTTAGTTTGTTCGAATTCATTAGGGTAAATGCCTTTTCCTCTGTCAAATTTAGTAAACCAAGATGGCCTCGCACTTCAGAGAAATAATTCTTTAGAATTAGAAAACAGTACATTGATCTTTTATTAGGCATACTAATCTGTGAGGGTTTTGTGTGTGTGTGCGTGAAGACATCAGAGGAGAGGAGAAGAAGAAAGAATATTTTGGAGCCTAGAACAGATAGCTGGGTTTATAAAACAGAACAACTAACACTGGAAAAGGAGGAGAACATAAAATGGAAAAACAAACAAGTGAGATGTTCTTTGCTAAGCAGAAGTCTGAGGCCCTCAGGCATCCAGTGCACTTTCTTTTTGGGTATGGGGTACAAAAACAATTCTGGTTTCTATTTTATTTTGTAATGATATACACTTATGCAATTCTACTTTAGACTTTTCAGGAAAGCATTTTTAGGTCTACAGGTGTCCTTGCATGTAGCAAAGGAATGTATATTTGGAGTCCTTTTGGTGGTTGTATAATGACTCTTCAGTAATGTCTCCACCTCAATTGATTAAACTCTTGATTGATTTCTGTTGTACAGTGTTATATAAAATATAAATAATATATATTATTTGGGGTGAGCTGCTATTAACCCATTTGAAATTCTTTAGTGTTTAACACAGTTCTAGGCTCTTGAATTCCCATCAGTCCCATTTTATTTCTGTTTAGCTCCCCCCCCCCCCACCAGCATTCCTATTCCATTTTTTTTACGATTCTCCTCCTCTACCACCACTTGCTTTATTTATTTCGTATCAAAAGCATTGCATAAACCACTTGCTTATTATAGTACAATTAAAGTAAGATTGATGCAGAAAAAGTGGGGCTTGCCAAATACATGATTATTTGAACTGAAGCTGCCACAGATTGTATTTGAATTCCCTAGGCCATGCGTGCATAATTTTGCTCTAATACTGTTCTTTCTGGACAATATATTTTGATTGAGAATTGGGAAGCAGAAGGGATGCAGTGATTCAGTTGTTCAGAGAATGTTCACATGAACTATAATTAAAAACATATTAAGAATTTTGAAGTCACTGACGGATTTGTAGAATTATCCACTTTTTCCTTTTCTTACAGTGGATCAGAGCCCTCTACCTGTAATAAATAATTCCTTATTCACCTTTAGCAAAGGAAGCATTGCAAAAGTGAGTGAAGTTTATGTGTTGGTGAAGTTGAAAAGAGAAAACAGCTGAAGATAATGACAAACTGAAGAGGTTGTTAAGACAAGATTGTATACTGTGGGATGGCCTTCCATCCTGACATTTTGTAGACATTCTAGACTCCTACCTTTCTCAACAAGTCATGCCATGCTCTTTTTTTAGTTCATGGGGGGGGGGGGGGATTAGGTTGGATTAGGGCAACTTTAAAAACAAATATAGTTGTTTGGAAAAAGCCAGTAACAAAATGTGTTTCCCTAAGATCAACAATGGAAACCTCCATGCCATCCTGTGTAAATCCCCTAGTCTGGGCCTACACCAATGGTTTAATCATGAGCTCTTACATTTTTCATGTATAAGTAGCCACGTAAGTGGGTTATTGTAGGTTTTTTTGGGCTGTATGTACCTCTGAGGATGCCTGCCACAGATGTAGACAAAACGTCAGTATAGAATGCTTCTAGAACATGGTCATACAGTCCAAAAAACCTACAACAACCCAGTGATTCCAGCCATGAAAGCCTTTGACAATACAGTCACATAAGTGCTAAGAAGCCCCTTTACCAAATTGTTGAGAAATGTAACAATACCCCAGCAAGAGTGCCCATATGTATTGGTGCTTAGTAAACATTAGAACTGATGCAATGTATAAAAGAACAATGTGATACACACCAGGATTGATGTATGTTGCTGTTTGTGCATCAGTCCCGATGAGCATTTGGCATCAATGTGTATCTGGCACTTTGCTAGTTCTGCTACTTAGTAACATCACAGCAGCCTTCTGTTGGATATGGATGTTACATAACTGCACAATTCTAATTCACACAAATCTAAGTTCACTTAGATATCAGTCCCCAAAATGATTCTGACCAGCAATTACAAGGTGAAGGTTAAATAATTTCAATCATTATTGTTTATGATACTGAATTTCTCAACATGTAATACTGAGAAATTATCAATTGAGTTTCAAACCTGAGTTCAAGCTATGGACAAGAAAAGTTGCTTATTAGAAAGGTTCTATAATGCTCTGAGAATATTTATCCATAACCAATAAATGTGTGCCTAACATTTTCAACCCAGATAGCTTCTTGAATTTTCATTGCCCCAGGGAAAAATTAAGATTTTTAGGGACTTACATAAGGATTCTAATCATCTCAATCTACCTTGTGGTTTCTTTCATGATTGGTCTTTCAGTGTTAGTTTTTGTAGTTTTTTTTAATTTGGGTGTTTTCTCACATTACAGATAGCATTTTCTGGCAATAGTTATCAGTGTGAATTTGCTTAGATTCTTCATGGGTGTATTGAAGGAAATGAAGATGTGTTGATTACATAGCCAAACCAAGAAATATTTTTCTAGATGGACTGTTTTAGGACTGTTCCTGGGGTTATTTGGGGCACTGATTCAGAAAATTGCATTGTGTTCTAGTTTCTTAGAGTTATGATGAAGACTGGTATATGGCATATATTCTGTATCTCACAAACTAGAGCTGATAGAGGAAAACTGGTACCCATTTTGGTATACTAAGAAACAGGTCTAATATTTGATTACCAAAATGTGTGTTGGCCAGTGTTATAGGTCAAAAAAATCACAAGAAATATTGTCATTTACAACATCATGAAATGGGCAAAATTGCCCATCTTACGACGCTTCCACTTCACTTGAGGCACAGAGCCTGCTACTTCTGGCGGGGCTACATGCCTCAAGTGAAGTGAAAGTGTCACACAGGGAAGCAGTGGCAACATGGGAGATTTCCAGTGTTGCATAGGAAACATGGGGGGAGGGTTAATGTGAGTGGTGACACTTCCCCCGTGAGGTGTGAGGGGGAAGGTGGGTGATGCAGGGCATGGAGTGAAGTGTTCCTCATGCTCCATGACAAACACCACCAGATTTGCCACGATATGTGGTGAATCCCAATTAATGTCATTAGATCCTAAGTAATATTTCTTTAAGGTGCTTGTAATGTTATAAGTTGGTGCACAAGGGTTTTTAAAAATCATCTTTCTGGCCCAACACTGTATTCATGTTAACTGGTAGCAAAATTGGTTACCTTATTAAATACCCATATAAGAGTAAATTTTTAGTCCAAAAATTAACCCAAAAAGCCTGGACTGACTTATTCTTGGGTCTTTTTCTGTGAGTACAGTACCTTAACTCTTTTCAAAATGGAACCATCCATTTCTCAGAATAAACTGGCAAAAAGTAAGCACTTAGTCCATCCTGGGGAACCTAAAAGAAGCACAAATTTCCTCTACTCTCTCCACAGTTGCATGGGGCACAGCCTTAATGTTTTTCACCCAGCATTACTTCAGGCCTTCTTGAATGCATGGGCAAATAAATGATGGCAGCAGCCAGAGGCAACTGGCGCCCCCGAGGTGACATTAGTGCTTTCTCCTTTCTGCAGAATCGACCCTCAAGTCATATCAAAATTCATACTATATTAAAATGGCCATAGCTTGTATACAGGCAACCACTGATGGTTCTACATACTCTTGTACGAGGGGCCGCTGATAAGTCTTTGGCTTTGTTTATTATTTATTTATTTATTTCAAAGTTTTATATACCGAGCTTCTCATCTCATAAGAGGGACTCAGCCCGGTTTCCAACCATAAAAACACATACAATCGGTAAAATATCAAAATACACATTACAATAAAACATTAAAAAAGCACATATATTTAAAACTACAGTGGTCAGTCGTCATACTAAAATTGAATATACACCGTCTTCCATCCAGATCATTGTCTCATTCTTCGAAAGCCTGTCTCCATAACCACGACTTCACCTGTTTCCTGAATGTCAGGATTGTTGGGGCGGTTCTAACCTCTGGCGGGAGAGAGTTCCAGAGTCGCGGGGACACTACCGAGAAGGCCCTGTCCCTCGTCCCCACCAGCCGCGCTTGTAAGGTCGGTGGGACTGAGAGCAGGGCCCCTCCAGACGTTTGTGTTCTTGTTTTGTTTCTATTGTAACAAATGTTACATCACATGAAAGCCTTATGTGTCTAATTTATATTTACAACATTTTGCGCTTGTAGGTTATGGCAGCAATTATCTAGGCACGCGGGAAAACAAAATGGCGGAGTCTAAGATTATGTTCACAGCAAATGAGAGCAGAGGAGTGATAAAATTCTTGTTTCTGCCAGGAAAGTCCACAAAGGATATTTATGGTGATATGTTGCAGACATTGTGGGATCAATCCCCTTCATATTCTACAGTTAAGAACTGGTTTGCCAAATTTAAAATGGGTCACTTCAGCACCAATGATGTGGAATGTCCTGGAAGGATGAGAGTGGTTGTTGTTCCAGAGATTGTTGATGCTATGCACAACCTCACACTGGAGAATCGGCAAATTTCAGCTAAAGGAATAGCAGACATCATGAGGATTTCTCATGAACGTTTTTGTGTAATTATCAATGAACATTTGAACATGAAGAAGCTCTCTGCAAAGTGAGTCCCCAAATGTTTGACAACAGATCAGAAAAGCATGCAAGTGAAAACTTTCCTGTCCATTTGTCAGAGTTTCCAGACTGATAATAACTTCCTGGATCAACTGGTCACTATGGATGAGACCTGGATTTATTTGTATGACCCTGAAACCAAGGAGAAGTCAAAAGAATGGAGGCACAGTGGTTCTCCTTGTCAAAAGAAATTCAGGGTGCAAAAATCAGCCACTAAGGTGACGGCATCTGTGTTATGGGATAAGGAGGTTGTGCTGCTAGTGGACTACCTTCAAAATGGTTCCACTGTCAATGCAAGGTATTACACTGAAATTTTGGACCAATTGAAGGCAGTTCTGAAGGCCAAAAGGTGCAGCAAGATGTGCAAAGGAATCTTGTTTCTACAAGACAATGCCTCTACTCACACTGCACAAGTGACTATGACAAAACTGGTGGAGCTAGGCTTCCACCTGGTTGACCACCCACCTTATTCACCGGATTTAGCTCCCTCCAACTATCATCTGTTTCCAAACCTGAAGAAACACCTCAAAGGTATCAAATTTTACACTATTTCTGATGCCATGGCTGCTACAGATGACTGAAATCCTTCTTTTTGCAAGGCTTACAGAACTTGGAATACCGATGTAAGAAGTGTGCTGATATCAGTGCAGAGTATGCAAATGTAAAGTTTCATCTTCCTATCTCATTTCTTCCTGGGTAAAGCCAAAGATTTATCAGCAGCCCCTCGTAGCAACCCAAATGCTGCTGAATAATCAAGAAACAAAAGCAAGAACAACAGTTCAGTTTTGCACATGAGTTCTTTTCTAATAAGTAGCAGAGTAAACCAGAACAAATTCTTTGCAGGGTGCAAAGCTGAATAGTAAGCCTCATTTTCCAGGCTTAAGGTTGCAGTGTAATTCGATTAATTACAAAATTCAGTAGCAGATATGTGGTTTCACACAGGTGAAAACTGCACTTATGGGCATTCAGAAGCCACTACAAAGCATTGTGGGAGCTCCCAATGGGCTCAACCATAATCCACTGTGATCTATAGAATATCCATAGAAATTCAACAACAAGTCTCACCGGGGATGATTTTGCCAATTAGTAGTTGGGAGCAAATTAGTTATAAAAGCACAAGCTTCTTATCCATTGTAAACTTGACAAAGACAGATTTACAGCACTAAGCTCTTAGGAGTTTCCCCCCATTTCTCCACTCCAGATAGCAAGAATCCTGCACCCCCGTTGTTGTTTTTAAATCAAATTCATATAATTGTAAACCAATAGTATTTCTTGAAAAAGTCAACTGGGAAGTCATATAATCCTAGTCCTACCCTTTGCACTAAAACAAGAGCCACTTTTCTAATAGGATTATTTGTTATACTAAAAGTACCCATAACAATATAGCCTATAATACTTCTGTTTACAGTGTACTGCACACATACGTAATCAGGGAACAAGATGAATCATGCCAGAGGTGCCTGTAGGAAGAGAAAAAATAGTTTAATATAAAAACACCAGTGGCTTAATTATGGACATTGTTTTGACTTCTGTGGGGAGGTAAATAAATGCAGTAAAACACCTTCTAAATAAGATGATAATTGCAGCCCTCTCCATGTGAAAAAAAGGTATTCTATGAAAACTTTAGGCAAAAATGTTATTGTCAACCAAATACAAACTTTTAGCCAAGATCCAAGGAGATATTAAAGAGCTCCTGGCTGGATCTACATGCCCCTGTATCCCAGGATATGATCCCAGATCATCTTCTTATCCCAGATTATCTGGTAGTGTAGACTCAGGGCCCTTCCAGACAGTTGCCTAACCTGGAGTAAGGAAGTGGGATTAAAAATCTCAGTACTGTAAGCAAAATCCTCACACTGAGCCATTAGTTCTGGGAAATGGTTCCACTGCATCCACAAAGATTTTGGTTAATGCGGATTGAAGGGAATCACAAAAGGTATAGAACTTCCACCAGAAATTTTCTTTTATTTTTTTTTCTTAATGACCATCAGAGATGTGCTGCACTTCAGAAGCATTTTGCCAACACTTATGAGCAGTAATGCACGGATGCAGATATAACACACAAGCAGATTTCCTGTCATCGGCTTTCCTTACTCTGCTGGTGCCTTCAGGTTTGCCCTCTTGAACCCCGTTTCCCTTTAGGATCACTTGACTGCCATGATGTGCCCACCATGTAAATTCAAACTTCATTTCATTTCATAAATATGAGAACAAATGAATAGTTGCAGAGTTCTCATGGGAATTGCTTTCCTCTTGTGCTTCCATTTAGCCACCAGTATGTCCATGACTCCATCTGTTTACATCAGCTGCTGGAGCAGTCTACACCAGCATACCATAAGTAAATTTTATTTTTTGGGGGGTGCTAGGAAATACAGCTCTTTGTAGCAGCACATTTTTGTCCGATATTAGATTTTATGTGAACATTTTTATCACATGTTTGTATGCAGTCCTGCAATCAAACATGCAGTTTCAGTCTATGTTTTCTAGCCACAAACAACCCCCCCCCCATTTTATCCCATTTTCTTCTGAGTTTTGGGGCTTGTGGAGATGGAGCCTCATATAATCTTAGATTAGATCAAATCAGATAATCTGGGATTAGATTTTGGGATATAGGACAGTGTGGATCCAGCTTCTGTCTCTCTCTGCCCCTTCTCACATTCAGCAGCAGCTCCTCTGGCCTTGTAAGAATCTTTAGAGGGGAAATTCTCAGTGTTGCTGTGTGCCTTCCAATTGTTTCCTGTTTATAGCAATCCTAAAGTCAACCTATCACAGGGATTTCGGGGGCTGTGTGGCAGGATCTACACTGCCCTATATCCCAGGATCTGATCCCAGTTTATTTGCTTATCCCAGATTTTCTGGCAGTATAGACTCATATAATCCAGATAATCTGGGATCAGATTCTGGGATATAAAATACTGGAGATCTAGCCTGTGTGTGATTCACCCAAGGACATTCGGTGGGTTTCCATGTTGAAGCAAGGAAATGAACCCTGGTTGTAGGCTAAAACCATCACATCATACAGGCTTTCAAAATTTCTCTTTCCTTGCCATAATATGAGATGGCAGGTAAGGATTACTATTAAAGAGCAGTCCAAGAGAGCGCAGTATTTTACTTTAAGACTAAGGGTGGATCTACACTGCCCTATATCCCAGGATCTGATCCCAGATTATCTGTTTTAAACTGGATTATATGAGTCTACACTGCCAGACAGCCTGGGATGAACAGATCATCTGAGATCAGATCCTAGTATATAGAGCAGAGTAGATTCAGCCTAACAGATTGATCTGTGATCAAGGAAAAGAGCCAAATAATACCCAAACAGGAAGTTCAGCCAGATTTTTGAACTGCAAAAAAATGGTTTTGATTTTCGATTTGATTTAGAGAAACAAATCAATAATGGAAATTGTCAACAGGCCAGATTTTACATTTCTGCATGTTGTATTTTTTTTAAAAAAAAACTCTTTGACAATATCTAATTAATGCAGTTCTGAAAAATAATCTAATTAAGAAATATATTGATTTATGGGGGAGGGGTGTGAAGCATTTCATATTAGAGGATGTGGTTGAGGAGGCTATTTACTATGTGAGATTTACTTTTGAGATAGACAGAAATAATATCGTACAATGAATACTGTTCAATGGATCAGTTCTGATTGTCTTCAATTCTGAACATTTTTATATACGTATGTTTGATGCATCGAGGATTTACTCCATTTATGAATGTCAATCACTTGGTAACTTGTAACGGAAATTGTGAACTGCCTGGAATGGTATGTTTTTACTTTTTTTGATGAATCATTCATGGAATAGGGCTTTCCCATCTCCTCCTGCGACAGCTCCTTCTGCTTCCCCAAAAGCTACTCTAGAAGACTGGAAAACTATATGGAACATCTTGAGATTTGACACAGGGACTATGGGGAAAGAATGGAAATCCTCTTTTGAAATGTTCTGTGAAGTGATATGGAAGATACCTAATTGCTTTAAGATGTCTGTTTCAAGTTTTAGGCTCTTTGTGGGGCAATTTATATATAATTATCTGAAAGTTGGGTTGCTGGTGTGCTGGATAGCATTAAACCATAGTGCGTTCCTAAGCATGCTTACCTGGAAGTACGACTCACAGATTTCCCTCACATTTGCTCCCAAGAAAATATGCATAAGAGTGTATGGTTAGCATGTTTTAATTCTAGAAACACATATTTATCTAAATGAAATTTTGTAAGTCTATTAAGGGCTTGAACCATTTGAAACCATGAGTGGCCATTCATAAGTTGGGATATATTAATGGCAACAGTTCTGGTAGATGTACTACATGCCATTTTGGCCTTGTCTACACTGGTGTTATAATGCAAATTGAACTGGATTACATGGCAGTGTAGACTCATATAATCCAGTTCAATGTAGATGTCAGATGGGGCCTTTGTGACCTATTGCAAGTAATGAAAAGCTGACAGTTCTACTTGAGAAACGAAGTGAATTTCAGAAACCATGGGGACCTAATTGTCATGATCATATTACATTTGTATGGTCTCTGCATTTACTTGTTTGCTGATTTGAAATCTCTGGCTTAAAATGCATGTTTAGATCAAAATGTGACGTCACTGCACTGTCTGTAATACACTGACAAAACAGTAACAAGAACACATCAAAGATATAGAATGTGATCAGATTTCTGTTATGTATCAGATCAAAGAATTTGCACATGATTTCTCTACATCCAAGCCACATCAAAATATGTATTTCATTATTTTCTCATGAACACATCACTTTAAAAATCCCACCTTGCAATGTCTCTCTCCCTCTCTTTTCTTCTCTGCTTAAATGTAAAGGTTGCACATTTTGTGGTATCTGTCTCATTAATTTAAATGTCATCTTTATCCACATTTTATTATTAAATCTTTGCACAATCAACTGTATAACCATGCATTGGGCTCCAAGATTGTATAGGAGTAACAGCAATTACAAAATGATATTATCTGTGTGTTGTGAACTAACACACTGTTACTGGATTCTTTTTGTCCCCGTTTTATTTTCTGTTAGGGATATATGATATGTCACAATGAAATAAAAGGTTACTTTTAGTCCAGTCAAAGCATCAGAAATATTTTTTGCAACAGGAAAAAAAGGGTCTGAATTATTAGGTTTTCTCTTTTATTGCAAGAATGTTTGTTCATGCATTCTCATTGGTATGCTAACACTGTGTTGTGTGTTTAAATTAAAATACTTTTGCTTTCCCCAGAACATTTAAACATTCAAAATGACATATTTAGTCCTTGCTTCCTACCGTAGCAACTTTTAAAAATTCTTTTGCATTTAATAGCCTTGTTCATAGTCTAGCAGCCACTTCAGTTTCATTTTCCATATTTTGCCCAGCCCTAGTGCTTATGCTACAAAGCCAATTCTGTTCGGCTGCACAGCAGGTCTGTGTTTTTGACTGCTGAATTTATGCTTGAATTCTACTGTAAATTGTATATATTCAAATTAGAAACAGCTGGTTGCATTTTCTGGCATGAAATCTATAACTGTATAAATGTACAAGTATATTTGGATAATATAAAATTAACAAACTCTTGTATTCATAAATACTGCAAGCTCAGTTTTATCTAAAGCTATATTAAACTTTCCAAAAATGCTGGATTTCAATCTCAGTGTTTGTCTAATTAATTAACACCATTATTGGGGCATGGAGTAAAAGCAAAAAAAAATGTCCATTTTATTTTTGATATTATTTGGGGGTCGCAAAGAAAAAATGGTATAGTATGACTTCATTCTAAGATTCACTGTATTATCTATACACATATGTTTGTTTACAATGTATTCCAAGGTGGAGCCTTATACCCAAATCTACAGAAATTGCCACCAACCACATTTTGGCATCATCATAAGATACTGTGTGACTTCCTTAATCAAATTAAATGATCATGGACAGAATTTACTCTGGCCCATCTACACTGCCATATCATAAATTGCATTATATGGTCAGTGTAAACTCAGGGCCCATCCATCCAAGCCCCAAAAGTGGGACCTGTCTCAGTGTTAACTGAGGCATCCAAACTATGCATACCCAGTAAAACTGAATTAGATACCCCATTAGATCTGGGCCTTTCTGAAAGGCCCGAGTCTAATGGGATATTGGGCCTGTGGGGACTCACCCCCGGATAGTCCAGGTACTACTGGGGGTGAGTCAACATTTGCCATCTCAAACCAGGATGGCAACCACCCCTTTCACCCCCCCCCCATTTCCCCCTAAAATACAAAAAAACTTACCTGGCTACCATAGCTTTCCTCCTTGTGCCCACTTGGCATGGGGAAATGATGTGCAAGGAGGGATCCCCCCCCCCAATATCCTGGCACATCATTTCCTCACACCGGGAGGGTGTGAGGAGGAACATTACAGCAGCCAGGTTTGGGTTTTCTTTTTAAAACCCACTTTGGTGCAGATTTCTGGGCTGTCTGGAATCACCCTCATATACTCAGATTGAACTGGATTATATTCATCTACTCTGACACGTATTCCAATCTGCATTATAATGGCAGTGTCGATGTGGCCTAAGATAGTCATGAAACCATAGTTTTCTGGGTACAGATGTCTTCTGTCCCATCCTCCCTTGTTGAATCTACAGTTACGGGCAGCAGACCCCTCACCATATAATTTGTAGCAAAGTTTAAATGAATTTTTGTTGCCTGGTGCTTTATTGAGTGTACAAGGTCCACATTCATTTCAGTGAGGAGTGGAGATCCATACATGCCAAGAAAAATCTGTAATTTGGTTGGGTTTGATAATATGTGGTTAAGTATACAGAGACTGTCCCTTCAGTCCAAATTTTACTCTTCTCTGATCTCTCCAAGGCATTTTTCATTTGTTTAAAATCACTGATTACAGAGCACAATTTAAAATGTTTCATAGAATCGCCCCTGTCCTTCCACCCTGCTTTATTAACAGAAAAAAGGCATCGTACTGCCTTGCTTTTATTTCTTTTTTCAGTCCATGTTGCACCCCACAATGCTGAAACAATTTTCTTAATTGTAAACAGAGCAAATGACAAAAAGTGAGTAGGCTTTCTTTGTATTATCCATTTGTTTTAAGCCCAGAACATTTAAATGTGCTGTTTATTCTGTGCATATGATCTGAATGTGATGAACTCTGTGTCTGTACAAATTCATCTATACTGAGCATTTCACTGTTTCACCCTCTTTTATTGCTTTCGCATATGTTCAGCTTGCAATATCCATGTCACTTTCATTTCAAAAACAGATGATTAAACTCATTGAAAAGGAAAACACTAAAGAATTCTATTCACAGCTTCATTGTGTTTTCATAGTACATATCTCAGATTACATATGCTTATTCTTCATCAGTAAATGAAATTATATGCATCCTGAAAACCGCTTTCAAATCTTTCAAAAGATGAGCCCAGTGCCAAGGATCAGTGTGGACCTGAATATGAATTGATGTCCTTTATACTGAGAAGGAGAACTATAAATAAAAGGAAAGATTATTTACTGAGGGAGAGGCAGTCATATTTGTGATAGCTAGGTTTGACTTTAATACTAGGCTTGTTCAATTAGGCTGGAGAGCAATCCATTTTTGATATCTGAATTTTGTTGAGTACCCAGATGCATTTTTGGGACCCTCCCGAAAATTGGCTAATGGGAAAATCTGTTTTTGGCTAGGCAGCTGAAAGATTCAGAAAGATCTGGCCCATTGGCAGGAATGGAAATTTTATGAGACTCCCCTTTTCATTCCTGGGATCCTTTCCTTTCTTCCTCTCAAGGGAGTTTGGCTTTTAGCATCTGGGTTAAGGAAGCACCCTCCTGGGACCCTTTCCTTTCTTTCATTCCAGGAAGTTTGGGGTTAAAGAATGGGGTTAAGGAAGCACCCTTCCTGGGCTCCTTTTCTTTCTTCCTTTTGAGGGTTTGAGGAATGGGGTTAAGGAAGCATGCCCCGTGTGCTCCCAAATAGAAGGAAAGAAGCTGCGACTGGTAGCCACATGGGCCATTTCAGGTGAAGAAAACATGGCGGCTGAGCCCTTACCATTACAACCATCCAAACAAGCCAGACAAGCCAGATTGGCCAAAGGGAACCGACCAATTTGGATCCATGCACAACCTATGTAATACATTTAATGAAGTTTTGCTGTACAATCAGATAGGATTCAGCCACCTTCCTCTACTTATATACCTTACACTAGAAGTAGACAACTACATACGGACTATAGGCCATTCACCATCTGTGCTTTCCATGGACCACCCACATCCTTAGAGGATCCATCTAAAATCAAGACAAGAAGTGATATATCACTTTTGTTGCCATCCTGAAGGGGGCTGCAGAGAAAATGGAGATATTAATAGGTAGTACCTGGTTGAAGGGGCTAGGGGGCATGGATGGTGTTTTCATTGTTTTCCGCTTGATGTGGGGACATACATTGCCAGAAAATGTTAAGTAAAAATTTGCCTCAGCCCCACTGAATCAAACTCAGCCTTGGCATTATGTACATCCAGCTACCTTCAGTGGAGGGGAAAATACTGGTAGAAAGGTCTATCTGGCCGCTTCTACACATCCTTAAAACCTGTGCTGAAACAAGTTAATGTAACTCACTTCAGTGTGAGTTCTAGTCCCCACTCTCCCACAACCCTAGGATTTTCCTCAGGGGGTGGCTACATGCTATCTATATTGAAATAGGGATAGCATGAAGCCACCCCAAAGCCCCCGATTTACCCCCTAAAACTTACTTAAAAGGGTCCCTGGCTGCCATGAACCCTCTCCCTATGTCCTCATGGCATGAGAAAATGATGGTGGAGGAGATGGGAGGGAACAGGAGAAAAATCTCTCTATGTCCCCCATCTCCTCACGCTTCATTTCCATGCACTATGACAGCCAGGGACCCCTTTCAGTAAGTTTTAGGGGGTAAATCAGATGCTAGGGGGAGGGTGTGGGTGCCATCCTGCTCCTCCAGGCTTTCCAAAGACTGAAGAAGTGGGACAGCTGTGGGGACTCACCCCAGGGACTATAGGAGCAATCCAAGGAGTCAGTCCCCACAGACCCACACCTCATCAGACTGAGATTGTTCATAAAGATCTGGATCTAATGAGGTGTTTAATTAATCCATAGTAAACCAGGAAAAAGCCCAGTTTACTCTGTGGTAATTTGCTTTTACCAGAGGCATCATTTGGATGCTTAAGGTAAAACTGAGACAGGTCTCACATTTTGGGCCTGTCTGGATGTGCCCTCCCTTTCAGTTTCAGCTTCCCTCAGAGGCTCAGGCAAAAGCAAACTGATGCACCCTATCTTGGCCTGTGCTTTTTCATTAATGCCTCCTGCTGTATTGACTGCATTCTGATGTTGCTTGGCCACTTTTGTTCCAGTTTTCACCAGTGAAATGTTAGAGGGTATATGTCTGGCAGATCCATTCAGCAGAAATTTAATAGTATGTTTTGGAGTCAAGATACTTAGGGAGGGAATCTAAGCTACCAGTGTACACAACATATCAGAGACAAACGGATTCAGTTTAGACAGGACAAAGTAACTGCAGCACTTCTGAAAGTTCTATGATCGGCTCACACTACCTTTTGGCCTCTGGTGGAAGACAACATTGGGTGTGACACCTGGTCTGTTCTGCATGTAAACAGCCCTGCCCTTTATTCTGTCTTTTTTGAAGCAGCCAAACCCATTGTTAATTTTGAATAATGGAAGCTTCCAGTGGCATTGTAATCAGCATTTCTACATATAGCATGCTGGGAAAAAGCATTGCATTCTCCCTTGCCTCGGGGTAGTCAAATATCTCAGGTCAGGGTTGAGATAAGGCTTCAGGGATGAAAATTACCTTGGGTTGGATCCATAGTGTCCTTTTGCCAGTTTGAAACCTCTTCCACCCACAGAAGGGCATTAGAAAATGCAGTCTGTTATGTATGGCTTTGTAAAAGCTAATTCTCAAGATTTTTCAATACACTGCAGACGGTATTTTTCCTTATTTTCTTTGGCTGTAATGCAGCCTCCAAGACTGTGGAACGGCACAGTGGGAAGTCCTCCAAAAGCTCTTATGCAAGAGTTCGCAGAACACTGCTGATGCATTTTCTCCTTCTGTTCAGAGTTCTTTTAATCCAGGCTATTGTTTCAATGAAAATCAAGGCAAATTCCCATTAAAACAACAATACATGAAAACTTAACAACCTGGTCTTAAAGCCAGCTATAAAAGTGCAAATATATGCAGAATACAAAGATATCCCAACCATTCTACACTAATTTCTGTTGTACATATGTTTTCATGGAAGATCACACTACTGAAACAACATGGAGCAGTGCCATTAGGGTGATTAATAGCTATAAAGTCTGAGTGTATCATTGCACAGAAATCTGCATTCAAAATTCAAACAGAAATAAATGAGTGGGCGCAAGGCTGTAACACAGATGGACCTCCCCATCTTTTAAAACACAGGAGTGTGCAAAATGCACTTCATTGGTTCCACCTGGATCCAGTTCGAAGCTGCAAAACCCTCCAAAACACCACATGTCCTCCAAAATTAAACTTGAAAGCTAATTCTGGATTTGTTTTCACTGAATTTGGGAACCTGCTTGTGCCCACATATGTTAACAGAGGTCAAAAATGATCTCCCTAACCATAATGGGTTTCCTGTCCTTGTGA